GAAACACACACATACACATTCTTTTTTTTTTTCTGGCCATGATATCTGAAGAGTGTATGGGAATAACTATAATAATGATTATTAATGGTTTTTCTAAGATAATCAGTAATAATAGTATATAATACTAGTAATAATTCTATCAGGACAAGAACCAAGGTCTCTCACCATGTGTGCTGCTCTGCTCTTCAGAAAAGCTGGCAGGGTCTCTCTGGTTATGTTCTTTATGACATGATCAAGGCCCATGTACTAGGAAGTAGAGGAGAGTCTTAAGTATAGGATGGGTTGGATCTAGATAAAAGTGTCTCTGATTTCCCACCACCCACAATTTCAGTTTAGGCATACAGGGGGCTTAGAACGTGGCTTTACACTAAGAGAACTCCCCAACCACACTCATCACTGTCAATACCAATGATGCTGGGGACAGGGTGAAAATCCACAGAGGCCAACAGTTCCCGAGGATGCCTAGGTAGGAGCATCCCATCCACCACACCAGGGACCATAGTGAAGACCTATGGGGTGTTAGGAGTCAATGATAAAGAAGAATCACATAAATATTCTGATGCCAACTATCAGAACAGAGTAGAATATAGAACAGAACACCCACACTATTTCCCCATTTCCTATATCATCCCAAGATGCTATGCTCACTCCAGAAGAAAGTGGACATCAAAATTCACCTATTTGTTATCTCTGCACAAAGCATTAAAAGGACACCAAACCATGAAGACCAGTAACTAGTTTGAGTAGTAAGTACTGGCAACCCCACATCCTAATGACCAGGTCCTCCAATCCACATAATTCTCCCAACCTGATTGATAGCCAGAATCTCTGCTTCAGTCTTGTCTCATAGGCAGTGTACCAGGGCCTCTGAGTCCTTGGCTTCACATCCTGATACATTGGCCACTGTCTGTAAAAGGAACAGCACTGGTTTGCTCATCTGTCCCATCAGGGAGCAGAGTTTTTCTTGATTTCAATCAGTTATCATTGTCTCTAAATACCACACCCTACTGTTTGGTGTGTATGAAAGAACTTAAAGGGAATTATTCACATTTTCAGTGGTAACAGCTGGGAAAGGGATATTTGCATATTTGTTTTGTTTTGGTTTTTGTGTATGGTATTCATGTGTGACAATAGGTATGGTGTGTCATATTTTGCCTATGAAGGTCAGTGAACATACTTGAGTGTCTCTTGCTACTTTACCCCTTGTGTTCTTTGTCCACACCAGCTCACCTGAACTATAACATTTCAGGGACCTCTATTGTCTCTACTTCCCATGTGTCCATAGAAGCACTGGGTTTACTGAAACATATTACCACCTCTAGCCTTATTTGAGCTGTGGGGATTTGAACTTGGGACCACACACTTTCACAGCAAATGTTTATATTAGCTGACCCTTTCCCTTAATCCATGTGACCCACTTAGATATTTTATGTCTACTTGATACAAGCCAGGGTAATCATGAAAGAGGGACTTGAACTAAGAAAATGTATCTTATTGGCTCATAGGTGACTCCAGGAATTTTCCTGACTGATGCAGAAGGGCCCATTCCACTACAGGTAGTGCCACCATTGACAGTTGTCTTGGTCTGTGTAAGAAAGCAAACAGAGGAAGCCATGGGTTCAGTAAGCAGTGTTCCCTCCCTGCCCTCTGTTTAGTTCTCCAGGAACATCTCTGAGTGTCCACTCTGACTTCCCTTCAAGATGGACTATGAACAGTATTCTGGAAATAAACCTTTTTTCTTCCCAAGTAGTTTTTACTCATGGTCTTTATCACAGCAGTAAGAAACAAACTAGGAAACCATGAGGAAATTTTTTTTGATAATGGTAGAAGCCATTGTGCATAGCTTCGCTGTCATATAATTTATTCAGCACACATAAAAGCAGAGAGGATTGATTCTAAGTTTTATGAATTTCAGAAATTACTGGAAGGAAGCAATTTCCCATGATCCTTGTTTTCCTCAATTAACAGATTAACAGAGAACCAGAAGCAAGGACTGAGATGGCAAAGTAGGGGGCTGGCGCTGGGAGGGCACTCACTGTGTAGACCACCTAGGACTTCTCAGAGATAAGGTCAGGCAGCAGGGCCACTCAACTCTGCATAATGGCTCCATGGAAGAGTCCTTTGGACATGGGGGACACAACAAGTGAAGACAAACTTGTGCCACCTGGTGACTCGCCAAAAATAGATAGCCTGTCTTTTTATAGACGAGTTAAGATCATTAATGTTGAAGGAAAGTAAGGACCATTGATTGTTAATTCTTGCTTGTTTTAAATTTGTTGGTGGTGGTGGTATTGTGAGTATATTTGCCCCACTTTTTCTTTTGGGTTCTGGTGAAGTGGGTTCATCTATTGCCTATGTCTTTGTGAGCGTAGTTAACTTTCTTGGGTTGGAGTTTTCCCCTCCAGAACTTTCTGTGGGGCTGGATTTGTGGATATGTATTATGAAAATTTGGCTTTCTCACTGAATATCTTGTTTTCTCCATCTATAGTGATTGAGAGTTTTGCTGGGTATAGTAGCCTGGGCTGGCATCCGTGAACTCTTAGTATTTGTAGAACATCTGTCCAGGACCTTTTAGCCTTGAGAGTTTCTATGGACAAGTCAGGTGTAATTTTGATAGGTCTGCCTTTATATGTTACCTGTCCTTTTTCCTTCGGTGCCATTAATATTCTTTCTTTATTCTGTATGATAGGTGTTTTGATTATTATGTGGCAAGGGAACTTTTTTGGGGGGGTGACCAGTCTATTTGGTGTTCAGTAAGCTTGTTGTACTTTCATGGTCATGTCCTTTTTCAGATTGGGTAAGTTTTCTTCAATGATTTAGTTGAATATGTTTTCTGCACCTTTGAGCTGGGCTTCTTCACCTTCGTCTATGCCTATTATTCTTAGGTTTGGCTTTTTCATGGTGTCCCACATTTCCTGAATGTTTTGTGGTAAGGATTTGTTGGATTTAAGACTTTCTTTGGTTGATGCATCTATTTCTTCTAGTTTATCTTCAGCGCCTGAGATTCTCTCTTCGATCTCTTGTGTTTTGTTGATTATGCTTGCATCTGTAGTTCCTGATCATTTACCCAGTTTTTCTATTTCCAGCATTTCCTCAGTTTGAGTTTTCTTTATTGTCGCTATTTCAGTTCAAGTCTTGAACTGTTTGAATTGTTTCCTTCATCTATTTGATTGGATGTTTTGTTTTTGTTTTTGTTTTGTTTTGTTTTTTTCTTGGCTTTCCTTACTTTAAGAGATTTATTCATTTCTTGCATTTTTGCTTGGTCTTTTCCTCTATTTCTTCCCCTATCAGAGTCCTCACTCTCTCTGGGGAGTGGATAGGGGATGGGAGGATTGGGGAGCTGCTTGGGGATGGGGAGTATGGGAGGGAGAGGAAATTGGGATTGGTAGGTAAAATAGGATTGTTTTTTAATTTAAATAAAAATCAATTAAAAAAAGACCTGGGGGAGGAAAACTCTTTGCAATAGGAGTGATTAGTGCAAAGAATTATTACTCCCATACTAGCCTATGTGTGATCTCCAGTGCACTGGAGGAACCAAGAGGGACTTGGCCAGCCTGGAAGAGCTCGAAGGTAAATTGCTCAAAGGCAAGGAGCTATGGCAGCCTCAGAGTCTGATACAAAGGGTAGCTGCTTGATGACAGAGAGAAATGTTTTATGGGAATACAGAGGTAGATTAAGTGCAGTTTGGCACTATGTGGTGATATATGGGAGAGAGTTTTTATTGGAGGACTAAAAGCAAGATCTAGGGACAGCATTAAATTGAGACTAAAAAATAATAAACTAGAGGACCAAGCAGAGTATGGGATCCAGAAGGAAGCAAGGGGTTTTCGAGTACTGTGAAAGGCCAAAGGGCCCTCGATGTAATTATCATGGAAACAATTTCTTCTGCTGGACATCTCACACCCATATCTATACAACCCCTAGTCACATATCTTCACAGATCTGTGCTATGATCATGCAAGTAGGGTCTCACTGTATCTGTAGAGCCCTTGGAATAAGAACAAACCTTGATGTAAGCAGACAGCAAGGAACTAAAGTGGTTCTTCTTCACACACACACACAAACTGTTCCAGGATCAAAGTGCAAATAGACATGCCTAGACATGTTTCTCACTTTAAAAAAAAGTTCTATTCATTATTTGAGAACAGAAATCGATAAATAAATGGATTGTTACAGCATCAATCACAGGTGACAATCTATGAAGACAATTGATAGCAAGGTTTTCAGTTGTTGGCAACCTTGTTGGCTGATGTAGGGATCTTAGATGCTATATTCTGAATGTTTTTGTGGTTCATACTTTATTTTGCAACCTGATATCCAATGTCATGATAGTAAGATTGGGTCCACTAGGCAGTGGCCAGGCTATTAGCATCATTGTTTGTCTGTTTTACCCAAGGAAGATACATGGAGCAATCTTTGAGTCAGAGAGTGAGCCCTTACCACATGGCTGGCACTCTTAACCCTGCACGCCATGAGCACCAACACTGGGAACAAATTTCTGTTGTTTGTAAGTCATGTTTAAGATACATACATCCTTAATTACACAATGATCTGCATATTCATCTGCATATTCATTCTATATATTTATAGTGTTCATATTTACAATAAGTTACTCTTGCATTTTTTGCATTCATTGGATGCTCTGCCTCAGTCTTGCTAGCATGAGGCCACACATCTGTCATAACACTCAACTAGCAACTTATGATTTTCTCATGGCATCTTGAATATAATAATGCACCAGTGCTGTTACCAATCAGGTTATAATCAAGACATAGATAATGGATAGGGACTCATTGAGAGATAGATATGGGGTTTTAATATCCACCCACATCTGGTGTGTTCAAAATTGTCCAGAGCTTCTGATTCATTTGAAGAAATTTAGGATTTGTGAAAAAGGAGGAAGAGGGTTTGGGAAAAGATGAGGTAAAGAAGAGAGGAAAAGATGCAAGTCCACTAGGGTACAAAGGAAGGCTGGCATCCACTGGGGCTCACACAACACACACTGTCAAAAGAGCATTTATTGAATATGTGAATCAATACATGACCCAGACAAACAGGGTACCAGTGACATAATAAAGTGTTAGGTGAACAGATATATGGAGAGGGGATACATGAATACTGAAAGATGGAGTCACCCTTGTCTTCTGAGTGTGTGGGCACCTTAGGTTGACTCCAGTTCTAAACAGGACACCCCATTATTGTGCATAACATGCTATAGCTCTGTGTGCTTGTTCTCAACATCCTTCAGCTCCTGGATCTTCTGGGGCAGGGTTTCGGTCCAGAACTGCATCCTGTTTGCCTTCAGAGCATGGCTGACAGTAGGTTGGATGTCCAGCTGCAGGTACTGTTCATCCCGGTTAAATATAGGCCAGTAGGGCAGGTCCATGCTGTTGGGATTCCTGTGAACACACCCTCACAGTGGGGCAGGGTGAGGATGACTATTAGTTATGCTGTGCCAAGACATGATCCCTTAGTTTGGGTCAATATAGTGAGTGAAGCAGGCCAGAAGTATAAGGACACAGAAGGACGGTCTCATGATAAAGGCAAAAAAGAAACTCCCAGTAGAGTCACTCCATAAGAGGCAAGGGATGTTTTTCCCTTTCTTTCTATAGCAGGCTCATGTACACAAAACTAGAACAGTTTGGCCACACACACCCCAGGTCACAGGAAAGTGACTATTGACTGACACTCAGATGGAACTACTGTGTAGGAGAAACCTGACCCTGAGGAATAACCTATCATGCGATAAAGAATCTGTGTATGTTCATGAGGCTACCCCAAACAGGAGGAGGACCTGGGAAATTCAGAGGAGCATAGCTTCTTACCCATGTCTTGCAAAGTTGGCCCAATACTTCATTATCCTCCTGCTCAGGAGTTCCTCCTCCTCAGTGAAGTCAACTGTAGCCATGGGGAAGACAAAGGTCCAGGTCTGAATCACCCCATGCAGCTGCTACATTCTCGACCTCAGCTATAGCCTAACTCTGGTGCACATTGCCCTACCTGCCTAGATCCACATTCTTCTATTTCCCACCCTTCCCTCACTTGCCCCGGCCTCTAACTGAATCTACCACTACAATCCCCAGCTTATTCTTAGTCCAGAGGCCCTTTCTTTGCATTGGCATAGTCATTTAAGGAAACATCCTGGCTTTAATTGGCCCTCTCTGATACCAGGCCTGACACCACCATTAGGGCAGGGACAGGGACAGAAAGTACAGTCTGGACTGGAAAGGATTTGGAGTCCAATCATAGTATAACATTTTGAGCTACAAGTTGGCTGTGAAAGGCTCTCCACAAGCTTCATTTTCTTCAGCTGGACAGTGAGATCAGTCATCTCTCACCTGAGTCCCCATCCTATGCATGGAACAAAGGGAAGACTCACATTTGCTACCCCAGTAGGATGATCCAAAGACATAGAAAATATCATCACCATGGTCAGCCTTCACATGGGGTGGCCTGATACCTTTGAAGAAGTTGGTCGGGTGCTGGAACTCATAGAAGTAGACAGGGGCAAGAGAACCTGGAAGTGTGGACACATCGTAACACAGTAGCCTTTTACCTGGACCTGTTCTGCCTCATCTTTTGTGTAAGATACCTTGGCCTAAAGTTGTCTGGAATCACAGTGGCTGGGAGTTTAGGGAGTGTGGACTCCAAGGCTGAAGCATGAACCTTTGGAAAGGCCTTGGTTAAACCATGACTGTAAGTAGTTTGAGGAAGCTGTAGAGCATCATTACCTCATTTTCCTCATCTGTGCCTGAAAAAGGTACCATGCTCTTACACTAGCCATAAGGATTCACTGAAGTAAGAGCCCTCAGAAGCCTGGGACCAGAGAACAAATAAAGGCATAGACAGGGATCTAGACAACAGAGGGCTGTCCTTAGACCCACAACTCTGAGACATCTCAGAGGAATCAGGCCTCCTTTTTCTTTGTAACAATACCAGAAATTAAACATGTGGCATTATGCATATGAAGCAAGTGTTCTACCACTAGCTAGAGTCCCAACCCAGAGGCATCCTTATAGACTTATTCACTCTGAGCACGTGCTACTTGCACGCCAGGGATAACAAACATCAAGTCTGCTATCATCTCCTGGAACTGTACTTGGAGAGTCGCAGGATCTTCGGTGTCTCCCAAGTATTCTTGTACCAGCATGTCAGTAAAATCAGGAGACAACATCTAGTTCAGAGAGATCCAGAAAAGATGGGTGAGGAAAACTTCAGCACCAGGAAGCAATATCCTCAGGTAAAAAGAGAAGGATCTGGGATGAACAAACTTGAGGGTGGCCCCATCCCCAAGCAGAAGTAGACTCCATTATTTGCTCAAGTGGTTCTTGGCATTGGCAGATAGCCAGAAACTCCATTTTCATTGGCCCACAACATTAAGGATCTTACCAGTTGTGTTCGTATGCTCTGTAGACCAGCCTGAATGGCCTCTCTGTCCATTTTTTTCCAGTATCAATGTTGCTCATGTACTGAGAAGAGGATAGAAAGGTTCAAGCTGATTTTGAAATAGGATATAGGTGGGGCTGTGGAGCTCTAAGCCCGCTCTCCATCCAATGCATTCCTCAGTTAATCAAGGAGTTGTATCTGGGACCTACCATTGGGATGTCCCAGCTATACTCATCATTGGTGACACCTATGATGCTGGGGACAGGTCGAAAATCAGCAGAGACCAACAGCTCCTCAGGGTGTCTGGGAAAGAATTCCCCATCTACCACAGCAGGGATGATCTTGAAGACCTAAGGAGCACTCAAGGTGAGGGGTCAAGTTCATGGCCCAGATAATTTCTGATGTCAAATAATCCCATAATGTTTATACACATTTAGTTTAGTTGAACTTGTGTCCATGTTGCATTGATAGCTACAAGGGCATCAAAGGGCATCAAGCCATGTGCATTGGGATAATTGTCCCTGAGTAAAAAGGGTTTTCCCTTCCACTCCCTACTGTACCCCTTCCTAGACACTAACACCATGCAATCAAACCTTGGTAATAGCCAGAAGCTCCTCTTCACTCTTGCCTCTCAGGCAGCCCACCAGGGCCTCTGAGTCCATCTGATTACATCCAGACAGGTTGGCCACCATCTGTACAGAGCATAAGCAGCAACCTGTCCATCCTTCCAGGCAGGGAGAAATGTTTTCTTAATAATCCTGGCTAGTGTGAATACCCCAAAAATTACATGGGGTAAAGTGTGTGGATTGCAGCAGGAATGCAATTGTTCCTACTTCCCCAGTGTTGATATGAGACAGACAAGGGAGCTAATGTTCCTGCTCCTATGGTTCTGAACACAATGGAAGCTACTAGGTACAACTGTTGGGGCACAGAAAACACTCAGCTTATGTAGAGCAGAGGAGTATGCATTTTGACCCTTGAAGCCTTCACAAGGAGAAAGATGAAGGGAGTTCCCATTTACCTCTATGATGTTTATTGCCATCACAGAGCAGACAGAACCAGGAGCTCTGAGAGTGAGGGCTGGGATAGGGGACCAGGGTGGGGAGAATTGAAAGAACTCACAGTGTAGACCACTTCAGCAGAGTGGGAGATGAGACCAGGCATTATGGCCACTCCACTCTGTATAATGGCACCATGGAAGAGTCCTTGAGACATGGGAGACATAACAAGTGAAGACACACTTATGCCACCTGCTGACTCGCCAAAAATAGTGACCCGGTCAGGGTTGCCTCCAAAGTGGACAATATTCTGCTGGACCCAGCGTAGGGCGGCAACTTGGTCCAGGTAACCCCAGTTGCCTCTGGCATGCTCATCTGCAGTGCTGAAAAGTGGCAGGAATAGGAATCACAGGGTTGTCCTATTTCTGTTCCACCCCCTGCCCAGCCCTGGGCTCACCTGAAGTAACCCAGGACACCCAGGCGGTACTGGATAGTGACCACCACAATGTCCTCAATGGCTGCTAGCTTCGATCCATCATACAAAGAAGCCATGCCCATAACCAGTCCACCACCATGGATCCATACCATCACCTGGTAAAAAAAAATATAAAATAAAATAATAGATCATTTCTCTTATCCTGCCCAAATGGCACCTGTCATCTAGAATTCATTGCTTTGGCTCTGAAGCTGCCCATATAGACAGATTCCAGCTGCCATAATCTGGTGAAGAATCCAAATTCCATTAGGAAGAAAAGTCTCTCAACCCTTAATTCTGCATTGTGTACAAAGTCTGTCTCCAACACTCCAGGAGCCGCTTTGAGGTGAAAAAAAAAAAAAAAAGTGTCCGGACATGTCCTTCGTGATTGCATGAAAACAGAACAAGTGCCCTCTCCACCATACTTATTAGCCAAACAGAAGACTCAATTTTTTAGGACTTAGATAATCCCAAAGTTCATCTCTTGGAAATCTGTGTGGTTTTTCTGAGCACAAGTCCTGAATTCATTAAGTTACAGACTCTAACTTGTCAGTGCCTTCAGGGGTTTCTGTTCCTAAGCCCATGAGTTAAATTCCTACGGTAAGCAAGAAGGCATTCTTGAACATAACATCAGGATCTCTACTGAAGCAAAGCCCAGACTGATCTTAGTCCTTCTATATTCCTTCAGATGAAATGTCCTTCCTACCCTAGTTGGCCACCCTGATGATACTCACAGGCAGGTTGGAGCCCTCAGAGGCATGAACAGGTGAGTAGATGCTGAGGTACAGGCAGTCTTCAGACATAGAAAGAAGAGGTGGGGTTCTTTTGAACAGGGTCTCTAACAATGCACTCATTTCAGTGGTACTCTGTAGACACCTGTCAACAATAGTAAACAAGTGATTATTCTAAGGACTAAGCAGTAGTCAAAGCAAGAACCTGTGTACATTTACTGAAAAACAAAAACAAAAAACAACTACCTTCTGGGAATATGAACTCATGTTCTAAAGTCCCTATTGGGGCTGGAGTGATAACTCAGTGGTTATGAGCCTTCGCTGCTCTTCTGGAGGACCTGAGTTCGATCCCCAGCACTGACACAAGAGCTCACAACCTCTGTAACCACAGTCTCAGGGGATCTGAGGGCACTGAATGACACAAAGCACAGATAAACACACAGCAAAACACCCAAATACACAAAATAATAAATTAATAAACTTAACCCCTCCAACACAGATAAAGGCCTCAGGCTCTGTGGAAGCTGTGATGGAGCCCAGTCCTTCAGATAGAGATTTGGAATCTACCTGTTGGGATGCCAGGAAATTGAGGGCCCTGCATGTCTCCATGGTAGCCATTGAGCATGGGTTTTGACACTTTTACCACTTTTCCCTGCCCCCATTAAGACCTGGAACAGGTGAATTGCCCCTACAGAGCTATTGCATAAATGAGTATGATTAGTTTCCCCCAAGATAATAGGACCTCCTTCACCTAAAGTCAGAATTTCTAGGGTCCTTCATCTCTCCCACAGGCTTCCTAGTTGTCAGCATATACACTTATTCCTTGTCAAATGGCATCTGGCCCATATGGGTTGACATAGTGACTGGAGGTTATGGTCCTTTGGAGACTACTGCTTCACTGTTTAGGATTCTTCATTCTCTGCTATTAAACCCAGGAGTTCTTCTGGTTAAGTGGTGGAGCCTAATCTCCTCCCAGAGACATTTCCCCTTGTATCAGAGACACATGACACAACCTAACTCTCACAACAAATGTACCATGGTGCTCCTTTCTGCAGTCCCAAGGCTAGTTCCTTATGGGTGCAAAGCACTGAAGCCGGGGACTGGCGCAGGTTGTTCCATTCTGAATCCACTGGAGAAATGTGTGTGGGAATCCCTCTACTCTGTGAAAAAGGGAACTGGATATGGGACTATGAAGTAGGAAGCACTGCAGCCTGGATGATAGATAGCTCAGCACGCTAGCCCACTCCAGGGCCTGAAGTCTACTAGACCCCAGAAGAGCTTACATGGCTGGGTGAGATGTTCCATCCCTCACACCACTCCACGGCTCAGGGGGCTCAGGAGGAGCAAACCGCAGATGTCCTACAGGTGGCTTGGCAAAGGGAATTCCCAGGAAGGTGTGGACTCCCATGTTGATGTCCTCCAAGTAGACAAGGCTGCCCTGTACCTGTCCAGTATGTGTGTTCCTGATGGGGCTGGATGAATCCTGTCCTGTAAATAAAGAGGTATCATCTGGCTTATCCTGTCCAATCAGTCACTTCTGTTGCTCCATCCTTTCTACCCTCTTGTCAACCTCATCAAAAGACCCTGGGCTGAAAACACAGGTTTTACATATTCCCTGCCTGTTACAGTCTTCACTGAGGTACTGTCAGGTCTAGTCCATTGACCAGACTCATTTAGGAACCATGGGACTCATTCAGCCCTATGAGCTTGCAGCACTGGGCCACATATGTGTCAATGGCAGAGTCTCCTTTCCATCAACTATATGTGATACAGTATAGGGTCTATAGGAGTCACATGGAAAATTACCCCATGTAGCCTAGCTACATGCACAATGTTTTATCCTCACAGAAAAGCTCTCTATAAAGTTCATATGAAATCTGGTAAACTGTCCTTCCCACCAGAAGCTGTAAACCATAACCGAGAAGGGGGACAGAGTTTCTGATCAACAGGTAAAATCAAACATAGCTGAAGAAATTTCATTTTCTGCTTCCTTTTTTGTTTTGTTTTTTTATTTTCTTGACACAAGGTCTTGCCTGGTAGCCCAGATCAGTTTTGCAGTCGGAGATCCTCCTGGCCCAGCCTTCTGAGTGTTAAATTTGCAGTTGTTTGTGGCTACACCCAGATCACACATTTCTTCTTGAGTAATCCTAGGTACTATATGTAAGACTATGTCATTTGTGTCCCTGTGGATGAGCCAGGCCTGGGAGGTATAGAAGGGGGTGAGACACAATTCTTTCTACTCTTACAGTTGCCAGTGATTCTGAACCCAGGCATTCAAACAAACAACATTTAGAAGAACAGCCATGAGTAAATATGGCAGAACTTCCTGTCTAGAAGGTGCTGGTAACCTCTGAAAACCCTAGCAACAACAGGCAAGAGACCCAGGGTGAGGTGAATGTGCCCTCCTCAGTGGGGAGGCCTGGCTAGAGGTCACCAGAGTGCACACTAGAAAGATTTGTGGTAGGGGCATCTAGGGCTGCACACACACACCCCAATCACAGTGCCTTCCTGACTCAGCTCTGATATGGACCTGAAAACTGTTGACATGCCCAAAGCACATGCTAGTTGCCCTGGAAACCAAGCCCCAGGCGAGGTGCATGGGGAAGGGAACCCAGGTTTTCCCAGTTCAGGTGTAGGACTGGGACCTTCTGCATACCTTAGTGGTCGCCAGTGCCTCATGCAGGGCCTTTTGAGAGGGCCTTGGCATTTCTCTATTCTGAGAGTGGAACATCCATATTCTTCGGCAGCATGAAGCTATACTGTTATTATCCAAGTCAGTAGCAGCTACAGTTTCAGTCACATAGAGAGGAAATGTCCCCTCTATTCCCCTGTCCCCTGACCTTTAGATCCAACATAACTGAGAGCCCATCACAGCCCCTCAGTATTGGAGGTCCCCTGGGGCTACAGACCCCTTGTTTCATAGGGGGACTAGCCTGTGGGCTTTTGCAGGGCACTAGGAGATGCACATTTCCCATACGGCCATCTCCACTGGCTCCTTCCTCCCTGGTACTTTTACTCCTGCAGTCTCAGACAATAACTCTTATCAAGTTTTGACAGCCAAGACTTGGGCCCCCCATTCCCTCTCCAGATAGTCTTACCATGCACACAGAAGAGAAGCAGAAGCCCACAGGTCACAGAATTCAGCCATCCGGGGAAGTCTGTCTGCTAGCATGATTACATCCCAGTCCTGAGTCTGCTGCTGTGCGATTGACCTCACGTTAATGTCACAAATATATGAACCTTGCCCAGGCAGAAACTTGGAAGCAAAGAGAGTAAGTACAGTGGGGCAGCAAAGGACAGGTCAAAGTCCTTAAACTCTACAGACTGTGCCACATAGTGGCAACCAAGAGCAGCAAGTAAGGCAAAGCTGCCTCCTGTTCCTGCTCTTCCTTCAGTTCCTTTGGGAGGCAGAGCAGGAATTCTGAAGCCCTCTCTCCAAATCTGGAGTCTCCATTTTCAGGTGTATTAAGCAGGCACATACTTAAATGAATGAATGGGGTAAGGAGGAGGGAGCAGAAATCTGTAACTGGAGAAGCTAGGGGCTTTCCTGAATAGATGCATACTCAGGATGTCACAGATGGAGAACAGACTAAAACTTGAGGAAATGTGAACTGAGTAAAGGGGAACCGCACGCACAAGCCCACCACCCTGAAAACAACCCCTGCTTTTAGGACTTACAGTTTCCTGAGTCCACGTGGGTTCAGGGTCCAACAATGATCTTAGTTAGAGTCTGCATGTACCCTTCCCTGTTGTGCCTTGACTATCATTGAAACACACTGCAACTCTACCACCATAGCTTATTCACTTTGCCTCTTTACTGTAGCTACCCTGGTGGACAGCTTCTATCACTTTCTCAGTTAGTTACCCACAAGCTCTAATACTGAGAACAGTCTAGGCTCTCAGGGCCTGAATTAAGGTTGGAATACAGGTCCTTGAGCAGAAGTTTCAGAAGCATGGCGAACCTTGGCAAACTACATCTGAGAGTATAGAATCAGGAGCTCCTGCCTAGCCCATCCTGATTTCCCCAAAGGTAGTATCATAAGGCTCAATCTCAGAAAGACTTTACGGCCACCTAAGAACTGGCCTTGGCTCCATTTTCCAGTCCCCAGACATCTATGGAACCCACAAAACAACACAGAAAGATTTGTTCTGAGGCAGTTTTCTGGTCATTTTTCTGGTATAGTACAATCAGTGCTTGTCTTGTCACCCTGCTCTCAATTAGCTGTCCCCTCTTCAGACCACTCTGTGCTCCCAGCTCCTGTCTAGAGGAAATGCTCTCTCTACTCTCAATTCCCGGATTGAAGGAGCAGCTGACGAGAGGAGGCTGAAGGTCTTTAGCTCCTCCAAGCTCAGATTCATAGAACTAGTTTCATTAGTTACGGACATCATGGTAATCTTCTGAATCCTGGGCACCTGCACCAAGCTAGAGGAGCATTCACACGCACTCTGATACTTACTACCCTGTCATTCCAAGGCTCTGCATCAATGATGGCAAAGACCATAGAAAATGTGTAATGGAGGGTCTCGCTACTAAGTTTCTGTATATGAGGAAATTGTGGAAGTTGGTAAGGGAGTAAAGATCAGGGGAGCATCTGAAATGAGACACCACTACACACCAATTAGATATAATCAGATTATGACCCATAACTAAATGTGTTAGCAAAGACATGGAGCAACTGATACAACTACATATGCTTAGAGGGGAAGTAAAATGATTATGGTGATAGAGGAAGTCAACTACATATTTTCTCTGAAAGTTAAACATATTTGTTTTATGACTCAACAATTCTACTCTCGGGACTTTAGCCTGAGGAAACAAGTGAATGTCATCACACCAAGTCATGGGTTTGGTTTGTTTGCTCTGGCTCTTTGAAAACTCACTCTGTAGACTCAGTCAGGCTGGCCCAAACTCACAGATCCACCTGCCTCTATCCCCTGAGTGATGGGATTAAAGGCGTGTGCCACCATGCCCAGCTAAAGTCTCATTTGAAGATATGCATGACAGCTTGATTAAAATAGACCAGACCAGAATTCACTCAGATGGGCATCAACAGGCGAGTGGGTGCAAGGTGGTGTGCCCACTCAAAATCAAAGGAAAATGCCATTTGTATCTCAAAGACATCATGCTCAGTGACAGGATATAAGGAGTACGGTTTTTCTGCCCGCTGCCTAGTCTTGTCCTGCCACCGCGCCAGCCCCAAATAACACACTGAGACTCTGTATTTGATATAATTATGTTGGCCAGGTACTTGTTTCTTATCGGCTAGCTCTGTCTTAAGTATTAACCCATTTCTGCTGATCTATGTATTTCTCTTACCCGGGAGCTGGCCGGCATACTGCTTTCTCCCGACTCTCCATCTTGGCTCTCCTTCTTACTACTTCCTCTTTCCTCCTTGTCTCCTAGTCCCACCTATCTTTCTTTCCTATTGGCCAACAGTGCTTTATTCATTAAACCAGTATGAGAAACATATACAGAATAACATCTCCCATCATCTCCTCTTTTCTGTCTAAAAAAAGAAGGGTTTTAACCTTAACATAGCAAAATATATAACACAACAGTTATCAAGTAAGAATCACAGTTAACAATATGTAGTCCATTAACATTTAGCAAGACTAAAAGAAACTATTCTATCATCTATCCTATATTTGTGAATCTAAAGTCCTATATGTAACTTATCTTTAAACCTAACTAAGGAAAACTATAACCATAACTATCTGTCTTCAACTCCTTCAAAGACCACAGAAGGATAGTATATAAAATCTAGAAATGACAGAGACAACTCACTGCCTGGTCACCCGAAGTTCTTTTGTAATCTTCCATCTTCAGCCCATAGGCCATAGTGTGTTTGGCAGACTCTTCAGCAAAGCAGGAAACTTTAAACTGTCTTCTTGTATTGGCAGTTTGTCAGTCACTTTCCTCTGTGTCCTGCAGACTGTCTGGCAGACTCTTCCATGAAGCAGGAATTTTACAGCAATGTCCATCTTGAATCAGCAGTCACCTTTCTGTGGGTCCTGCATGTCCAGTTTATATAGCATAAAGTCAAACAGTCCAGACAAGAGCAGTATCTTGTCCAAATGGCTAGTCTTGCCATATTGGAAGCAAACTCCATGACGAGTTTCTTCAATGTCCATCTTCCTTTCTGGTGCAGGTGGTATTGCCAAGAGCAAATATGTCTCACTGTCACGAAAACCCTAAACCATTTTAAATGCCATATTCTGTAGGTCTTTGAAAGGTTTGAAGAATGCCTATCTATCTCAAATACATCTCTGTGTATCTTGAAAACCTAGCTAACTTAACTCTAAGCTTTGACTATCATAGGTAATTATCTATAATCTGTACTACATTATACATTACATGCATATACTATGCATATCACAAAATTGACCTTAAATTGTATCAGTAAATGAAAATCCATTCAAAAACAAAGTACTCATATCTATACCATAATCCCTTTTTTACCTTTAAAAAGATATTGGTTGTGATCACTAACCATTTATAACCAACCCCATATAAATGAAAACAAACATTTATAAATAATATTTGGGAATTTGGGCATTGTTCTTTCCAAACTACTTCCTGCTGGTAAGGGGCGCTGTCATTGGGGGATTCTAAGAAGATGCAGAAATCCTGGCTGTAGTCTGTAAGGCTGCTTTGTTCAGCTGTTTTGAATGTAGGATCACCTGGAACTCTGTTTCAGGGGGTCTGGCTTGATCAAACCATATTAGTCTGGAAGGAATCCACAGCTTTTCATTTTCTGTGGAAACAAAAATAGAAATCCTTTTCCCCAGTAACTTGTCCTTGAACTTAAATTTTGGAGTCAAAGCATTTTTAAAATATATAAATTGAATTAATCCAGCAGTATTTCCTTTAACAGTTGTTTCCTCAGCAGTCAAACGATATAAAGACAATATAATGCCATACAGTATACAGATTCTCTCTGAGCTTTTCATTTTTACGTGGCTTTATTATTACACTCTTTCTTCTATTTTTTCATTTTTTGAGACAGGGTTTCTCTGTGTAACTTTTATCTGTCCTGGAATTCACTCTGCATACCAGGTTTACTTTGAAATCACAAGAGATTTGCTTGCCTCTGTCTCCCAAATGCTGGGATTAAAGGCGTATGCCACCACACCCAGCTCCTCACTCTCTTTTTAAAACCATTTTATTTCTTTTCTCTCCCAAGCCTACGTATATTTTAAAACACACTGTAAACCTTTAGAGGTTTTTCTTAATATGAATTTGTCTTTACTGTAAATCTTTATCTTTGTCTGGCCACAAGTCTTTATCTGGTAAACAACATTGCTAAAATGAAATTCATAGTTGTTTCTGCGGCAGTTTATCAAACATGGAGGCGGCTATTTTACCGCCAGCAGTGAGAGCTATGCTTACTGCCTTGGTCTGCACTGCCATCCAGCCTCATGCTGCCGGCTTGGAGATGTGGTCACTGCCATTGCATGCTCTCGTACACACCAATAAATTGTTAGCAGTGCTTCTTAAAAGCCGTGCTGGTCCCCACCCCCCTTCTTATGCTAAGTCAGGAACCTTCCCTTAAAGGAGCCGCGCAATCTGCTTGTCTCTGGCAAAGCAGAGTCCAACTGAGAAAAATGCTGCTACCAAGAAACCTTGTTAGTCTTTGTTCTTTTGTTTCTAAAACCCTTTTTTAAGCTTTTGTTAACTTTTAAGTGGAAGTTCTTATTAGCCACGTGGGCGCCATTTGTAACGAGTATGGTTTTTCCTCCCGCCACCAGTCTTGTCCCGCCGCCGACACGCCAGCCCCAAATAACACACTGAGACTCTGTATTTGATATAATTCTGTTGGCCAGGTAATGTTTCTTATCGGCTAGCTCTGTCTTAAGTATTAACCCATTTCTGCTGATCTATGTATTTCTCTTACCCAGGAGCTGGCCGGCATACTGCTTTCTCCCGACTCTCCATCTTGGCTCTCCTTCTTACTACTTCCTCTTTCCTCCTTGTCTCCTAGTCTCACCTATCTTTCTTTCCTATTGGCCAACAGTGCTTTATTCATTAAACCAGTATGAGAAACATATACAGAATGACATCTCCCATCAACAGGACCTTTCACAAATGATTCCTTTATGTGCTAGGGTAGACAAGCCCTGATGTTCCTGAATTAGATTTCATTTCCAATCTTCAGCTCCAGAAAGCAGTCAGATGGTTGCCAGAGAGCAGGGTTCAGGTCAATGATTAATGAAAAGGAACATAGAGAAACATTTGTTGTTTAGTCAGAAAATAAATATTCTCATACCTGAAGTGGGTGTGGTACATGCCTCATACATTTACTCTAATATACTAAGCTATGGAAGTAAATGAGTGAATTTGACTGCATACTTATCATATGACAATAGAGCTCTACAAAAATAAGACTGTTGCTGAAATCTAAAAAGTCTCCTGCTAACACTCTTGATGATGTGCCCTATTTGCTAAAATATGCTTTCCTTAAATAGATGGAGTTCAGTTGAAGAGAGGGAGGAGAGATCATATGAGCAAGGGTACCAAGATCATGATGGGGAAAACCAAAGAGACAGGCAACCCAAGCTATTGGTAACTCACAGACTCTGGACTGATACCTAGGGAACCAGCATGGGACTGAACTAGGCCCTCTGAATGTGGGTGATGGTTATGTGGCTTGATGTGGGGGGGGGGGTTCTTGGCAGTGGGACCAGAATTTATCCTGGGTACAGGAACTGGCTTCTTGGAGCCCATTACCTATGGCAGGATACCTTGCCCAGCATGATTCTGGAGGTAGGGATTGGCCCTGCCTCAAATTCGTATGCCAGACTTTGGTGACTCCCCAAAAGAAGCCTTATCCCCTCTGAGGAGTGGATAGGGTGAGATGGTGAGAGGTGGGGAGACAGGAGAAGGGTAGGGAGGGGAAACTGGGGTTGGAATATAAAATGAAAAACAAATTTTAATTAAATTTATAAATAAGTAAATATGTTTGCCTATCAACCAGCAATATGTTCAGTCTCCAGCAGAAGTATCAGCTCAAAGGCTGTTTGGTGCCCTGTAAAACTTTATCTTTGTCTGCCCTCTGGTGTCGAAGGTGAGCAATGCTCACTTTGTAATATCCTGTGGTTGGTCTTCAATGGAGTGGATGAAAAAGGACTTGTCCAAATTAACAAAATCAGAAACAAAAAGGAGGATGTAACAACAAATACTGGGGAAATCCAGAGAACCACAGATCATTCTTCAAAAACCTGTATTTCACAAAATTGGAAAACTTTAGGAGACGGACAATTTTCTAGATAAGTACCATATACCAAAATTAAACCAAGAACAGATAAACAACTTAAATACACCTATAACTTCTAAGGAAATATAAACAGCTATCAATAGTCTCCCAATCAAAAATAAGTCCAGGCCC